AAATGACAAATAAAATGAAGTTTAATAAAAATTGAGTTTTAATGAAATGTACCATCCTCCTAAGCTCGATGACGTTACAAGTGCATAGGAGTGAAAGATATATTTAATTATGCATTGTTTCTCCCGCAATAAATAATATAGATTATAATAATAACAATATAGATAATAATAATAATAATATAAATAATAATAATATAAATAAAAATAATATAAATAATGATAAAAATATAAAGCGAACTAAGCTCTACATACAGAAGCCAATTTTAAAGCGTGTTGGGTTAAGCATTTGTTACAATATAGCGAGAGATTGAAGCCAAAGTGGAAGAATTTCTTAACAAACTGCTCTCACGTTTCTTACAATATTAATACAAATTTTTGCATGTACCCATGCATGTTTGTTTGTTTGTATGTTTGTTTGTTTGTGTGTGTGTGTGTGTGTGTGTGTGTGCGTGAGTGAGTATGTTTGAATATGTGTGAGTGCGTGTGTTTGAAAATAGTTATTTTTGGAATGTTTTCTATTTTCTACAAGGAAATAAGTTTTTTCCTCCTTCCAAATTAAAAAAAAATTAAATTTGAAATTTTCACGAGAGGAAATTAATTCTTCAAATACAATTTCATTTATTATTTTATTACTAAAATTTTTTTAATATCTTACTGTATTTGCGTGTGTGCGTGTTGTGTGTGTGTGCGTGTTGTGTGTGGTGTGTGTGTATGTGTGTGTCGAAGGTTATTGACCCTAACTACAATGAACACGGTTGACAGCAACTGTGAGAGAATAATATTATGAATAACAATAACAACAACCACAATAGTAATAATAATAAAAATAATACCAATAATAGCAATAAGAAGAAGAAAATGTAAAGTGGTAGATGTATGATATACAAAATTGAGTCTGTAAACTTTTATGGGGGAGTTAAAAAGTTGCTAATTTTCTGATTCAAACTTCCAGTTAAATTTTAATAGTCCAATTTCATTTAATTTAGACAAAATGCGTTTTCGAATCTTCCACAATAAACTTACGACCGGTTCGTGATATGGTTTACACTGTGTGGTCACGTGAGCGAGATTAAGATGGCACGCCCGAGCACCTCAACACCTCAACATTTTTATTTCACCAAGTCAAACCAAAGAAAGCAGATTCAATGAAATGAAATGATCTGGAAGTCAAAAGAATTCTTCTTGTAACGGTCACTTGTCACTTAACGAATAATAATCACCAATTGTTTTTTTTTATCCTTTTTTAGATCAGAATTTTATTGTCATTTCTCAAGGCGTCACCAAGAGCACTAATGTTACTAGCGTCAAAATGTTGACCGTGTTTAGTTTTTAGTTTTTACCGATTTCATCATGTACATCATTACATTCAACATTCCTAGTGTCATCATCTTCACCATAGTCATCATTATTATTTCTGTCACCCTTACCGTCATTCCTCTCTCTCTCTCTCTCTCTCTCTCTCTATCTCTCTCTCTTTCTCTATCTCTCTCTTTCTCTCTCTACATCACCATCTCTCCTCTCAACATCGACGGGGGCGTCTTAAAAAATTCGGGTTAACGAGAAATGGAGTAAGCGAAACGTGAAAAATGGCCGGTCCACTACTATGCCGAATTTATGCCCAGTGCATTCAATGAAAATTCATTAGTCAGGCAGACAGAAAGAGAGAGAAAGAGAGAAAAAGAAAGGAGGAAATGAAAGAAGGAGATAGAAAAGATTGAATAGAGAGAAAAAAGAGAGAGAGAGAGAGAGGAAGGAGAAATTGAGAGTCAGAGAGAAAGAAAAATAGAGTGAAAGAGAATTCAGATTGAAAAAGATAAGATATCGTAATTAGGAAATGGATTAATAAAAATTTGTATTACGTGGTGATATTATAATAACCAAGAACGCCCTACGAAGCCGTACTACAAAATTAATCCCACCTTACTAGACACACAAGTCCTACCAACAATCACCAAACTAACAAACATCTTGAGAGTGTTTGGGCCTCACATAGTCTAGATTCGTCGCAGTATTCGAGATTTGTTTTTTTGAAATTTGTATAAAGTCAATCAACCGTGAAGTAGTCAGTCACTCAACATTAAAATAAGCATTCTATTGTATGGAATCATTGTCAGGCTTGTGTTATGTAGCTGGGCTTTGTACTCGCTGTCTATTGCATTTACTAGCTTATGAGCGTTATACCTTCACGCTTCAGTGATTTCTGTGTAATTATGATGTTATCATGAAATTTCTTTTAATTTAAATAATTCGTTTAATAAAATACTAAAAAGTATTTAAATTTATATATATATATATATATATATATATATATATAAGAGTATATGTATATGTATATGTATATTTTATTATACCAAATTTATTTTAAAATATTCTTCATTTTATAGAAACACAATTTTTACAATTTTATTTGAACGGTTTGCAAATTTTAGTGTCTTAATCAACAAACTTAAAGCCTAATCCGAGATATATAATAGGGAAAAAATTGTCGTTAATATGTGCTTATTATCTGTAATCAGTTTGTTTCGATAAGAATTTTGTTCATGTCATTAAATTATTTGTATTGATTTTTAAAAATATGGTTATATCACTTAATTAAATACTATATCCTAATAAATCACTAAGCAAGTATTAGAGAATGTGTAAAAATTACTATGTTGTGTTTTGGTACGAGGCAGTTGTGTCAATTTCGAATGTACGATGTTTGTAATTTGGGTTTGGTTAACTTTATTTTACTCAGAACAACATGAAAAATCCACGTTTCTATGATTCTATAACTTCTTCTTATTTAAAATAATTTGTAAGCTTCTCAAGTTATCAAGATTAGTCTGAATTTGACAAAATAAAATTATCAAATGGTAATTTAAAGTGAGTGGAGATCCTACCGAACTAAAAAGGACTTTTTATTTCGGGCTTTACATTTTAAAAATTTATTTTCATTTCCTGAATTTATTCTAAATTTACCTGCCCATTCATGTTTCTAATTTTATTTAAATAAATAAATATTTAAATATATATAGAGATGTATGCTCAGAATGTGGCGTCGTTTGCTCTTTTAGATATGAGCTCTGCCTTTGATTGTGTCGATCAAACATTACTTTTACGCAAGCTTCAATATTCGTTTGAGTATCGGGTGTTTTTCATCAATGGATTGAGTCATATCTTTCTGGTCGTTGGTCGTACAATACAGAATCGATTCAGATTTTACTTGACACGGTGTTGAAACTGTCATACGGTGTTCCATAGGGATCGGTTCTTGACCCTCTCCTGTTTGTCTTGTACGCTGCAGATGTCTTCAAAATCATTGACAGATATAAGTTCAAACATCACGGTTTTGCTGATGATATTCAGATCATTACTAGTACCCTCCTTTGTCGTTTTGACAATAACATGTCTGTTAACGTTCAGCCGGTCTATCAATCATTTCCTACTGGAGTAACTGTTTTTTAATGGGATTATTCAATTATTCGTTCATTCATTCAATCGTCTATTCATTCACGCATTCATTCACTCACTCATCATTCGTTTATTTACCCATTCATTCACTCATTCATTCACTTATTCACTAATTTATTTACTTATTCATTCACTCATTCATTAAAACATGACAATGAAAACTCTCTCTCTCTCCCTCTCCAACCTCATCAACATTCCGCGCTTGTCTGAAAACGGAAATTACATGCATCGCACACACACACACGCACACACATACATACATACATACACACACACACATACATACACACATACATACATACACAAAAATACACACCTACATACATACACTCAGCAAATATGCATTTATAAAAGCAAGTGTACATACATTCACTATAAGCATCTATCCATACAAACATATCAATACATACGTGAGGAGGTGTATATACTTAAGAACTTATAGATGCATTGTATATGTATGAATACAATGAATACACACACACACACACACACACACGCGTTTACTATTTAAAGGGCACATTTTTATCCAAACGTCCCACATAGCAAATAATTACTGACGGTGTATCTCTTGTATTATGTCAAAAAGCAAAGGATTAGTGACTTTTATAAACCGGCCGATATTGAAAATGTTATTGCTGGTTGTACTGCCGGACGTGTTGTATATTAAATTGGGATGTCGTAACATTTTTATTGCCTGCGATTTTATCTCCAGAACTCCTCTTGATAATTCAGGTGATGTGTGTGTGTGTATGTGTGTGTGTGTGTGTGTGTTTATGTGCGTGTGTGTGTACGTGTGTGTGTGTTTGTATGTGTTGTTGCTTGTGTTGTTTCAAGGTTTCTTGAATAATTTACAAGTGCCGACAACTGACACACATCCACGCCTCACAAACACACGCACATTGCATGTGAGGGTCGGGATTCTTTTCGCGTTCGAACCCAGACACTGTGAAAGCATTTCCAGGCGTCTTATCCACTACACCATCACGCTGCTTTATAAATTTGACGCCTCCTCTATTAAAGATTGCCGAGGATTTATGATTATAATTTTATTAGTATTTTTGCAGTAATTAATTATTATTACTTATAATTGACTGACTAATTTGTTAATTATAGTAATAATAATAATAATAATAATAATAATATGTAATGTTACGAATTGTATATTTTCAATTTCTTTTATTCTATGTATGCAAAGTTATTTTCAAATTGGTGAATTGCCAAAATATCATTATCAACGACCAAAATAAACGAGGTTTCATTTATGAGTTTGATTAGAATTTGTATTTAGTTGTTAACAATAATCATTAACTCATATCAATTTGATGAATTCTGGTTGGTTGGTTGATTGGTCTATAGGTTGGTTGGTTAGTTAGTTGGTGTGTTAGTTGATTGGTTTGTTGGTAGCTTGGATGGTTGGTTGGTTGGCTGATTGTGTGATTGGTTGGTTTGTTAGTTGATTGATTTTTTTAAATATTTGTATTTCCCGCCAAAAAGATCTATTCCCGCCAAATTTCATCAGCCATTCGCCGAGATTGGTGATGTTCAAGATGAACGATAAATCTGTCACCATAGAATGTTTGGCTTACGGAAAGCCACTCGTCAGGTAGGCTATGACGTCATCATTAAGCCATTTATATATCTAGCTATATTTATAAAAGTTTAATTATTGCTTGTTTAGTAAAATCGTGAACATTTTTTTTAATTTTTCAAACCGTAAAAGGTACTCATGGAAAAAAGACTCCAAACTGTTAAAAACTCCTGAAATAGATAACCTATACTTTAAACTTCTAATACCTTCCAACCATAAACCAAAAGACAAGATAAATGATACAAAAAATGTAACCAATCCAACCAAAATTGACAATAAACTTAACGAAGAACTTGAGAATAATAGAAAATTTGTTGATTCAAAAAACATTCTAGACCAAAAAAACAACATCAACAACAATACCAAAAAATTTGGATTTGGTAATAACAACAACAGCACCATTTTTAGCAAAATCGGTAATATTAATAACGACAATATAAAAGATAGCAACAGCGTTTATAACAACAACAACAACGATAGACCTGTTAATAACGACTACCACCACAACATCCACAACGACAACAGCAGCAGCAGCTACTACAACAACTACAACACAAGTTTTTACCCTGGCTCCCTCATTATTACTGACCCAACCATTGAACATGAGGGTTTGTACCAATGCACTGCCTCCAATGAACTAGGGACTGCCATCTCTGATTACATAATGCTTCGATTGGCCTGTGAGTTTAGTAGTTAAATGGTTATATGATTGATTGAATAGCTAGTTGATTGGTTGTTTGATTGATCGAATGGCTGGTTGATTGGATAGCTGGTTGATTGGTTGTTTGATTGACCGAATGGTTGGTTGATAAATGGATTAATTAGAAATGACTAACTTTTTCGTTTCTTTTATGCTAGTTAATTTGTTGATTGACGAGTGATGTACTTTGTTCTTTCTCGTGATTTTTCATTGCTTGGCTTGTCAGTTTAGTGATTGAATGGTTGATTGATTGAATGATTATTAAATAAACGGATAGATTGATTAGGCAGGAATTGAGAAATTGATTAGATAATTTTTTTAATTTTTTGGTTATTCGGTTGACGATTGATAGATTTTAAAATTCATAATGCATACCTGAATTTCCAATTCAACGTTCAACAATTCACAATGCACCAATTCACACAATTCATCAAACAATTCACTCCCACCAACTCCAGATCAAAACACCTTCCCAATTACCCGCGACCCCAGAATTCACTACCCCCTCTTACACCGTCCATTTACCATCAAGTGCAGACTCCCATCTGGCTACCCCACAAATTTTGAGGTCTTCTGGGGAAAGTCGACAGATGGCGGGGAGGTAAGAAGGGTGGAAGAAAATGACAGACTAGCTGTGGATCGGAACGGTTAGTTTGAAATTTTTCTCTTTTTTCCGAAGTTGTTGATGTTTTCCAATGAAAATGACGCCATTATCTTGCCGGTAGAAGAACCTAAAAAATTAATTATACATTTAATGTTGTTTATAGAAGAAAATTTGAAAAGTCTTTTATGCGTGAGAGATAAAAGTGGTTTTTTCGGAGTCAAAAAGATATACAAGTTTTCAACTTTTCAAAATTTTCTTAAACTCATTCTACTCTCAAAAATCTGTACTAGACAACCAGTTACGTAATTTGGAATGGACGAAAATTTGAGAGGAAGGATTTTAAACGCCGTGTGAACCACGATTCTTATAATCTCAATGAGTTAAAAACGCGTTGAATCACTTTTGAAATATATTTGCAGATTTGAGTGTAAAAAAACAAAAAAAAAAGAGAGAAAATGATCTTCAAATTTTGTCACAAACATTTTTGGAGGAGGCTATGGACATTCAGAGCCTGGGATGGGGTCAAAAAAGTATGAGTACCCTGATTCGGCAAGACCAATTAGGAACTAATGGTTGTTAGAAATATTATAGATTATAACTTATTATAAAATGCTCAATTAATAAAATAATACTCAATAACAATTTAAATAGCGGAACAATACTAATTATAACTTATTACTGAATACTCATTTAATGAAATAATAGTTAAAACCTAACAATAGTTTCAGCAGCGGTTGCAATATAATTAGAATAACGTTGTACTTTTAAAAAATCCCTGTTAGAATTACTTTTTATGTAGTTACCGTTAATCTGGCTTGTTAGATTCAGCTTTGAGTAGTCTGACGAGGAATTTGTGATTAGTGTTTCAAACGAAATCACGTTATACTGAGTCGAAAACATTACACCATTGCGAACTGCCGTATTTCTATAACCTTGGATGTTTTGGCAAGAGATTTAGAATTCAATGTCTTACAGAATTTCAGATTTACCTAAAGTATGATCTTTCTGCGATTAAAATCGAAATTAGGAGAAAACAATTGGGAAGAATGAATTGGTACGTTTTGGTTTTGAATATCTCAATCTAAAAAGCTTAATGATCCTATGTCGTCAAGGGTTATGCAGTTTAGTGGATTTCGCAGTTGTCCTCAATAATGAAGCCATCAGACGAAAACAAATGAATACCAAAAATTCATCCAACTAGGATTTTTAACGATTAATTTTCGTCTAAATCAAAGATGTCTTATAGTAGCTTTTGTTTCTTTAATAACGCGATTTATTAACTATAGTTAGAGTTAGCTATTGAGGTGTGTTTAGTTAAGTAAATATTCAGCTACTTTTGAAGTATTCATTCGAAGAATAATGAAAAAATACTACCACAATTGAAATATTTGATTAATTTTTAATTGATTCGGTAGAATCCAAATCCAGTAAAGCATCTTTACAATTATCGTAATGATTCTGCTTGTAACAATCTTTAGTATGATTAATTTGGCCAGGCGTATGTGATCGTAAACATTTTTAATCAATTGTAATCAATGCGCTAATTATTACATTAGCATCTTGACTTGAAAATTTGGACATTGATTGTATTAATTATACTTTTCAATAAAATTCGTCACTGAATTGATTACCCAATATCAGTATTTTAATACATTAAATTATTTTGTATTAATAATTTTATTACCTAAAAATAATTATAACAAAATTAATTATAACTATTCAAAATATTATGTAAATTAAGGATAGGCGAGTGATATGAACCTGTGTTTGAGTGACTAATTGCTAACATATTATCAAAATATGCGGAAAATCAAATTATTGGATAATTAGTTTGTTAGTAATTATACAATTACCATTGGTTGCTGAGTTAATTAGGAGCAACGAGTGTCAGATTATAACAAATAATTATTTTTATTAGAGATAAATATTTTACAAACGGTGTCGGGGTACGATCGGTTTGATTAGAAAATAATGTAATGGCGAGTGGATATATTGATGGTGAACTTTTTAACAAAACTATAAACTTATTAAAAAAATTATTTAAGAAATTTTTATCATTTAAAATAAAAGAATACTTATCTTTCTAAAAATTGAATACTTTCTCTCAATTAAGAATTCAGCAAAAATATGGTGTAAAGCGTATTGATAAAATTAATAAGTTACGATGGAAAGTGAGGTATTCGACGGGTTCTTCCACTTAGTGGCAGTAAAGTTGATCTATAAGGTATTCGTTTGTTTGACAGTTGCCTCCAATTAGTGCCAATAAAGTTAATTTGTAAGGTATTCCTCTCTCCACTTTGCCTGTGCACTCATTAATCAGCTGTCCACTGGTATATAAGGCGGACATCATCTAGAGTTAGTCATTCAACTCTCAGTACAGTTTTCAGTCTCAAAGAATTCGCATCAAAATATTGAAATTTATATCAAATATTATTACTAAACATTAAAATTAAAATAACCATTTAATAAAAGTTTCAAATTTTAACCAACAATTTAAATCTTACATATTTAGCAGCTAAATTTGCAGCAATACAAGCACATTTATCTTTATCTTTATATCAGAAAGTCTTCAAAAGTGTTCATAAGACACAATAAGAAAATGAATTTTGAACGATTCAATGCACTGAACTTGAGCGGAAGGAGTCGTTCCAGGCAGCTCCTACGTGAGCGAGCGACGATGCTGCAGCAGCAGTCGCCAATGTGCCGAGGCAATCGAACCCAGCAACATTCGCAAGTGTTCAGCAAACCTAATCAATATGTTTCAACATTCAGCGAGATAGCCTGCAGACAGCGAGATATTTACGATCCCAATTTGACTAACATCAGTCGGAAGAATCACCGCAGAGATTTCAGTGTCCATTCATCACAGCAGCAGACAAGTGCATACAGAAATATTAGAAAGAGGAAGCTGTCAGACAAGAACACTTCAGAAATTCCGTTCACAATCAGTGACGATAGCGACGATGATGTCGACAACAAAAGTTGCTACCACGCGTCGCAGTATTCATTCCAAAAACAAAATCATCGTCACAGTCGTCGTCATCACTTGTCCCATTCCAACTGCTGCTACACGGACAATGAAAAACAGAGGAAGGTCCTGTTGAAATCCATCACCTCGATTAATGATGCTGACGCAAGAAGTAGGTCCTCTATCTGCGACAACACCTTGGACGACAGCAGAGACCACCGACGGATCAGTCGCAGCTCCAGCCGATCAAGATTCATCAGGAGATGCAGCAGCGTGATTTCATTTCGACAACTTCTGGCAGGCGCTGACATGGCGGATAAGGACAACGAAACGATTTCTACAAAAAATTCGCCTGACGATACTAAAAACAACAAAGTCGATAACAACGAAAACGAAAGTTCCAAAAATTCAGTGGAAAACTCTGGAAAACAACGAACTGGAGAAATTCTTGCAAAGTTGGACATGATGAGAAAAAATTTAGCTGGATACTGCTTACCAAAATTTGGCAGGCATTGCATTCCATTGATGAAAACATTGAATAAGGACAACATGTACGACAATGTTCTGGAAGCATGCATTGGTCCTGCTAAAAACAACAACATGAAGCAACCAAGTTTCATGAAACGTCTCTTTCTTTCTAAACAACTCACCAACGTGACGGACGGTTTCTACATCTCATGCACGCTCCAATCAGCTGGCAGAGTTCTAGTGACGTCACAAGGCCTGCTTCCAACTGTGAGGGTTGATTTGGAGAACATGGCTAACCTGGAGTCTCACTTTTATTGGCTGATGAAAGTTACGAGCGATTGGTCCATGATGAGAAACTTGAAAGAGGTGATGAAGAAAGAAATTTCAAACTGCAAAAAAATGGATCGAAACATTTTCCACGACAAATACGCTATTTTGAGGGCGGTCAACATTCTACAGAAGGTAACAGGAATTGAAAAGCTGGGCCAGCTGCACACCAGCATCATCAGCGGAAGCAACTATAATGTCTTCATGTTCATCAACGACAATGTCAACGACGAATCATCTCTCACCTCCTCGCCAGCTCCATCTTCTCTCTCGACACTAACATGGATGTCAACAGGCAAGTTATCTCCGTCAACAGTTTCGAACAAGAAACAGAAAACGAGTGGAGTCTTGAATGACCTGACCAGCCGCTGCCAGGAACTGCTGATCGGATCAAAAAATTTGAACGAACAATTGAAGGACGGAGTGTACATAAGCTTCCTCTACATGACTTGCCACGTGCAGCATGGATTGCAGGTTCTCGTTTCCAAAGAAACACCCAGCAACTTCCCATCCATCAGAATCTGCGAAGAACACAACGGCAGCTCATCGACCATGGGCAACTGTACGAACATTTTGAAAGGACTGAAAGATGAAAATTTTGAGAATATCGACGATAACTTTAGAAGCAAAATGTTTTCTACCATGCGTCAGTTTGATGACGTGACATTCTCGCAGCTACCAATAACTCCAAAATCATCACCAACATCCTCACCTTCCTCATTCGCTGGGGTAGCTGTCACCAACCGCCTACATACATCCATCATACCACTCAACGATCAAGTTAAAATGGTACTGCTCACCCCTCCGCAATCTCTCTTCTGTCCCCTCATCAGCCACACCCCTGTACCCCCTCTGCCGTCTACCTTCTTTCTACCCCTGCGTACTTTTGAAGTGGTCCAAATGAGATCCTACCAGCCGCAGATCTACCGGAAGTATTGTCAAGTGTCGGTCATAATGGAGATGGCAGTGGAAATGCAGAGGAACCGCATGGCTGCTCAGGATACTGGAAACAAACATTCCCAGGGGGAGGACACCTCTGAACTGGTATCGCTGAACTCAAGGCTGACTGATTTGAAGAAGAATATGGAGGAAACCATGAAGAAGTATAGCTGGATTGCTGATCTCATCAGGGATGCCCGCCAACCTGTTTCGAAAAACTTCATCAGCCGGCAACATATTTTGTTTTAGAACATTTACACTATTTTTTATATTTTAATTTAATTATATTGGTTTTGATTTTATAAAAAATTTGATTGCCCAAATGTTGTTTATATGATGTACAATGTACATTTTACGATGCGATGTTTAAAGTTACAGTTTATTCCGGAAGAACGGGATAAAAACCTAAGTAAAACTGTTAAATTAGGATGCTTGTCGTCGTCAGCTTCATAATATTTGTTTTCCGATCATATTTTCGTGTCTTGTCAAATTTTCGTTTCGTATCATAATCAACGAAATATATAACTTATTATGTCCAGTAGATATTTTATTTCAATAAAAAAATTAATTAACGGGTTAAAATTTTAAATTTTCCTACACACCAGAGAGCAATAATCTATTTGACGAAACCTATTTCTAAAAATCGTTAACAAATCCGATAACACGGATCCATACAATGGTCACAAAACAAATTATAAACAATACTATGACCATGATTGACCATTGACCATGTTCAATTGTCAAGGATTGAACTGAATGGCAAAATTGTTATTCCACGATACGTCAATTAATATCAATGTAAATATTAATCTTAATTAAATTTTAGTCCTTAGGTTTTAAACTTTTTAATTTAAAAAAAAACAAACAAAACAGCCTACTCAGATCAGTTTTTACGAGTTTAATATCAATAAAAGACAGGTAAAATGGCGTTTTTAGCCACAGCTGCAATAGCTCCTTGAAAATTTTGTAGTCACAGATTTGCAATGACTTTTATGTGACGAAAAAATAGTGCAAGGAAACGTGCAACCGTTGTTTTATTGGCGTTATAGATAAACTTTGAGAAAATTTATACTTAAATTAGAATTATCTGAGATAGTTATAAATGGGTAACAATTTTAAATATGTGGTTAAGTATTTATTTATAACGCGTCTGGAAAACGTAAACTAGCAAACCCTTTTTTAACATTTGTGATATTTTTTATTTTGTTTCTAAGCCAGAAAGTTTTGTGTAGAGAGTGAATTTTTAAAATAATTACTCTAGCTTTATCAGTCATGAGTTTAACCGTTGTGTTATTAATCTGTCAACTAATTTTTTGAACTGAGATTAAGAAATCAAACATATGCGAATCAAGGTAAAAACCAGGTAAAAAAGTAGGTTAGTATGCGATACGAAATAATTTATTTCATCCGTATTATGACGATTGGCTTAACAGTTTGATTGAATTAAAATTTATTTAACGTTAAACTAGAAACGTTGAGAGTTAGAGAACATCTACATCGTAGAAACCGTTTTATTTCACACAAAAAATTGATAACGAAGACAGGCATTGAAAAGCAAAAATTCTAATTAAAAATTTTCGGGATTGTTTTTAAAACGTTAATTTAGAAAAAAAGTTAAATCATGAAAACTGTTGCCGGCTGATGAAGTTTTTCGAAACAGGTTGGCGGGCATCCCTGATGAGATCAGCAATCCAGCTATACTTCTTCATGGTTTCCTCCATATTCTTCTTCAAATCAGTCAGCCTTGAGTTCAGCGATACCAGTTCAGAGGTGTCCTCCCCCTGGGAATGTTTGTTTCCAGTATCCTGAGCAGCCATGCGGTTCCTCTGCATTTCCACTGCCATCTCCATTATGACCGACACTTGACAATACTTCCGGTAGATCTGCGGCTGGTAGGATCTCATTTGGACCACTTCAAAAGTACGCAGGGGTAGAAAGAAGGTAGACGGCAGAGGGGGTACAGGGGTGTGGCTGATGAGGGGACAGAAGAGAGATTGCGGAGGGGTGAGCAGTACCATTTTAACTTGATCGTTGAGTGGTATGATGGATGTATGTAGGCGGTTGGTGACAGCTACCCCAGCGAATGAGGAAGGTGAGGATGTTGGTGATGATTTTGGAGTTATTGGTAGCTGCGAGAATGTCACGTCATCAAACTGACGCATGGTAGAAAACATTTTGCTTCTAAAGTTATCGTCGATATTCTCAAAATTTTCATCTTTCAGTCCTTTCAAAATGTTCGTACAGTTGCCCATGGTCGATGAGCTGCCGTTGTGTTCTTCGCAGATTCTGATGGATGGGAAGTTGCTGGGTGTTTCTTTGGAAACGAGAACCTGCAATCCATGCTGCACGTGGCAAGTCATGTAGAGGAAGCTTATGTACACTCCGTCCTTCAATTGTTCGTTCAAATTTTTTGATCCGATCAGCAGTTCCTGGCAGCGGCTGGTCAGGTCATTCAAGACTCCACTCGTTTTCTGTTTCTTGTTCGAAACTGTTGACGGAGATAACTTGCCTGTTGACATCCATGTTAGTGTCGAGAGAGAAGATGGAGCTGGCGAGGAGGTGAGAGATGATTCGTCGTTGACATTGTCGTTGATGAACATGAAGACATTATAGTTGCTTCCGCTGATGATGCTGGTGTGCAGCTGGCCCAGCTTTTCAATTCCTGTTACCTTCTGTAGAATGTTGACCGCCCTCAAAATAGCGTATTTGTCGTGGAAAATGTTTCGATCCATTTTTTTGCAGTTTGAAATTTCTTTCTTCATCACCTCTTTCAAGTTTCTCATCATGGACCAATCGCTCGTAACTTTCATCAGCCAATAAAAGTGAGACTCCAGGTTAGCCATGTTCTCCAAATCAACCCTCACAGTTGGAAGCAGGCCTTGTGACGTCACTAGAACTCTGCCAGCTGATTGGAGCGTGCATGAGATGTAGAAACCGTCCGTCACGTTGGTGAGTTGTTTAGAAAGAAAGAGACGTTTCATGAAACTTGGTTGCTTCATGTTGTTGTTTTTAGCAGGACCAATGCATGCTTCCAGAACATTGTCGTACATGTTGTCCTTATTCAATGTTTTCATCAATGGAATGCAATGCCTGCCAAATTTTGGTAAGCAGTATCCAGCTAAATTTTTTCTCATCATGTCCAACTTTGCAAGAATTTCTCCAGTTCGTTGTTTTCCAGAGTTTTCCACTGAATTTTTGGAACTTTCGTTTTCGTTGTTATCGACTTTGTTGTTTTTAGTATCGTCAGGCGAATTTTTTGTAGAAATCGTTTCGTTGTCCTTATCCGCCATGTCAGCGCCTGCCAGAAGTTGTCGAAATGAAATCACGCTGCTGCATCTCCTGATGAATCTTGATCGGCTGGAGCTGCGACTGATCCGTCGGTGGTCTCTGCTGTCGTCCAAGGTGTTGTCGCAGATAGAGGACCTACTTCTTGCGTCAGCATCATTAATCGAGGTGATGGATTTCAACAGGACCTTCCTCTGTTTTTCATTGTCCGTGTAGCAGCAGTTGGAATGGGACAAGTGATGACGACGACTGTGACGATGATTTTGTTTTTGGAATGAATACTGCGACGCGTGGTAGCAACTTTTGTTGTCGACATCATCGTCGCTATCGTCACTGATTGTGAACGGAATTTCTGAAGTGTTCTTGTCTGACAGCTTCCTCTTTCTAATATTTCTGTATGCACTTGTCTGCTGCTGTGATGAATGGACACTGAAATCTCTGCGGTGATTCTTCCGACTGATGTTAGTCAAATTGGGATCGTAAATATCTCGCTGTCTGCAGGCTATCTCGCTGAATGTTGAAACATATTGATTAGGTTTGCTGAACACTTGCGAATGTTGCTGGGTTCGATTGCCTCGGCACATTGGCGACTGCTGCTGCAGCATCGTCGCTCGCTCACGTAGGAGCTGCCTGGAACGACTCTTTCCGCTCAAGTTCAGTGCATTGAATCGTTCAAAATTCATCTTTGCAGGATGCGTTATGTTGAAGACTTTTTTATTTTAATATGAAATTGAATGTGTTGGAATTGCTGCAAATTTTGCTGATAATAGTTGTTGGTTTAAATTTGCTGATTTAAATTCGCTGGTTTTGATTTCAATATTTCAATTTTAAATATTAATTTTTATATTACTATTTAAGTTTACTGGAGGCCGAATGAAGAGCTGATTGAGGTGTTGTGGATGAAGTCCGCCTTATATACCATGTGGTTAGTTAGTTATTGAACGCACATGTCAGACAAAATGAAAGGAGGAATACCTTACAGAACAACTTTACAACTCCTAATTGGAGGAACCTATCTAACAAAGGAATACCTTACAGAACAACTTTATTGCTCCTAATTGATCGCTCTGTCACACAAAGGAAAACATGAATACCTCACTTTGTAGCACCAGCAAACCAGCATACTTTTCTTGTTAGCTCTTTATGTTTTTCATTACAGAAGTTTCGCCACTTTTTGTGAAAAATCATTCAAACTTTTGAAAGTATATCATTATTACATTTTGAAGGAACATAAAAAGTAGTCAACCAATTTTAAAATAAACTTCACCGTCGCATTAATCCTTAAAATCTTTTTTATTATTTTATCGATTATACTCAATCATTGTCAGTGATGAAATTTGTCTGTAATAAAAATTATTATTTGTTATAACCTGACACTCCTTGCTCCTAATTACCTCATCAAGCCATGCAAGTTGTAAAATTACTAACAAACTTATTGTTCTATCAAAGTGAGTCTCCTGCAATATTCTACCAATTAGTCAACCAAACTCGGCTCATGTAACATCATGTCACCAACTAAGTCCTAATTTACATAATTTATTTATCATTAATGATAAATTTTGCCCTAATAACCAATATTTCTTTTTTATTTTCAAATTTTATTGAAATATATTTTGAAGAAGCATAATAGCAACTTTAAAATGAGTTATAAATCTATTTATCGTCGTGACGACAATGAATAATCAAATTAAGAAATTAACTGAAAATAATATAATTGATTTAATTAATTAGTTAATTAATTGCAGCAGATATAATGAATACGCCAGGTTTAATTCATATGACACTAATTATTAAACCAATATTGTAATGTCATCGTAATTATTAATGTAAGAGTGGTAATAAACGCATCAATTAGAATCAATTACAAATTTTTACAATCACATCCACGTGTTTACATAATATTTTTTGATTACAACAATGAATAATGATTTTAACCATTTTATCGGCATCCATTACTGGCATGGCATCATCATTGTGGTTTATTTTAAGTTAATAGATGTTGTATAATAGTTTAGACTTAAAAAATTTTAAATGTAGTTGTTGGATGAATTGGTGGTTGTGGGAGTAGTCGTATCATTATGACATCATTTGTCAACTGAAAATTGCTTAGTTTGTCTTAGTTGCTTGGCTTAGTTGAACATAACTACATGCCGGTTTAAATTGTACAAGTTTTAACGTGTGGTGTGTGTGTGTGTGTGTGTGTGTGTGTGTGTGTGTGTGTGTGTGTGTGTGTGTGTGTGTGGCAATGATTTGGATAATAGAAAAAATTAATTAAATTGTGATGAAAGTACTTTGAATTGATGAAAGTATTCTAAGTATTTTTAGAAGTTTTAGCGTTTTAGTATTTATAAAGAATACCTCAAATTACTCCCGATCTGGCACTGGGTACGGGTTAGTTTTCTTAAAATAATCAACAAAAATTTACAAATTAACCTAAAATTAATCAAATTTATTTGAAAAAGAAATCTCCATCAAACTCTATCATTAAACAGCATACAGATTTTACATTTAAACTTGATAATAATAATAATATAACAAAATAATAATAATAATTTTTCTTAATATATTTATGAAGGTAACCTGCATTTTTCCAATGTTGAGTTGGACGATGTCGGCTTGTACATGTGCGTGATGAGTAATTCATTCCTGAGAAGTTTCACCCAGGGCGATGATCAGATCATCCAGGTGGTTAAAAATGATGATGAAGAAGATGATGATGAAGAGGAAGAAGAAGAAGATGATGAGGATGGCTATGATTTAGGTTGCTTTTTTTAAATTATTTATTTATTTAGTTAAATATTATTTGATGGCTACAAACTTAATGAATTATTGGTGTTAGGTTTGTTTTTTAAAATGATTCATTTGATTTAATATTCACAATTATATTTACAATGCTAGGTTTATTGCGATGCATTTTATTGTTATCACCATCGTCATCCTAATCATCATCATCGTCACCATCATCATTGCCATCATCATCGTCGTCATCATGAAGTCACTCCGCAACTGACATGGTCTTCGCCATCATCACAAGTGGTCATGTTGTGGTCAGAGGTCAAACTAAAATGCATCTTTGCCTCGTTGTTAGTAGTTGTTGTTGTGAGGATAGTAGTAGTAGTAGTAGTAGAACTAGTTATTGCACTAATTATATTATCTTTAATTAATTCATAACTTTTCCAGCCCCACACCTCAAATCAGCTGGACCAAATACAACGGTTTAATTGACCAATCACGTGCGTTCATTCACCCGGTCAGGCGGGACTTGATGATAAACAACATCTCATTGGCTGATGCCGGCTTATACCAATGCAGTGCTTTAAACAAGAATGTAACTGTCTCCCATGTTATGAAGATTATCGTTGAGGGTTTGTTGGTTGATTGGTTGGCAGATTGATTGGTCGATTGATTGATTTGTTGGTTGATTGGTTGGTTGGTTGATTGGCTGATTGATTGGTTGGTAGTTGGTTGATTGTTTGGTTGGTTGATTGTTTGATTGGTTGATAGGTTGGTTGATTGGTCTAAAGATTTGTTGAATGGTTGTATTAATTAAACTGGACGTTTGACTAATTTGATGACCGCTTTGATTATAAATTAAAAAATCGATTCATTCATCCAATTTGATTTTTTCCAGTTCATGATAGATATAATCTATCAAGATTAAAATTGATTTAAAAAAAATCCAATCATTCATTTATTTAATATTCGTTTATTGATTAATGGATTTATTTATTCATTGACCCATTCATTCAATCAATCAGCCGATCCTAGATGGATGGATGGAGCAATGAAAAATGTCGAAACGGATGAAGAGAATGACGTAGAAGTGATGTGCGATGTCTTTGCCATACCGAAACCGAATATAAACTGGTACATAAACGGGATGTCCATTCAACGTTAATATTGTTGTTGTAGTATACAAAGATTGTGTTGTATGTTTTTATTTGTGTATGTATGCACATGTTTGTATGTTTTTGCGTATATGTCTGTGTATGTATGTGTGTGTGTGTATGTGTGTGTATGTTTGTGTATGTATGTTTTTGTATGCATGTATGTTTTTTCTGTATGTTTGAGTTTGTATGTTTGTGTATGTATGTTTGTGATTGTATGTTTATGTAAAAATTTGTATTCAATTAAAATTGTTCTATATTTCAATTTTTACTGTCACATAGCTACTGATCGTTGATTGGTTGATTGATAAGTTGAGTGTTATAAACGACCAATTGCAGAGCTGTCGAGGCACAAAAGTAGGTCAATCCTGGCCAATCACCTGCGGTATACAAACGTCACTCAGTCGGAAAACCAGGTCATCCAATGTAATGCATCTAACTTACATGGCTACCTCTATGCTAATGCTTACATCAAAGTAATCGGTCGGTAGGTCTGAATGTGTTTGTGATGTGATTGTTGTGACGATGGTGATGATGCGGACATTAATGATGACGACGACGACGACGATGATGATGATGAAATACAAACCGCCAATAATCAACCACAACCAACTACAATCAACCACAACAACCACAACCAACCACAATCAACCACAGCAACCACAACCAGCCAAAACCCACCACAATCAACCACACCACAACAACCACACCACATCAACCACAGCTCAGTCGCCAAAGTTCCTAAATACTGACCAATCGACCACCATCAAAATACCAATCGAAACGACGTTAACCCTGTCATGTGACTTCACCAGTTCGCCGGCAGCCTATCACCGCTGGTATAAAACAACAGCTGACGATTACGTGATCAGTTGGAATGATGATGATGATGGTGGTGGTGGTGGTGATAATGATGATAAAAATGATGATACTGATTATGAAGTAAGAACTTTGTTTCATAGAGACACGAAGAGAATTAACTGTGACGATATCACAGATAAAAATATGACGTCATCAACATCATCATCAGCAACATCTTTTTCTTCTTCTTCATCATCATCACTATCGTTATCATCATCACCAACAAATATGGCGTACGATTTCAACAATTTTGTCTTCTCAGAAAGACATCTGCTGAAAACAAGATCAAAACAGCTGGTGTTGAAGGTAGGTTCGAGATGATGATGATGATACTGGTGATGATGATGAAGAGGAGGAGGATGAGGATGAAGAAGATGATAAGGATGATGATGATGATGAAGAGAAAGATGAGAATGATGATGATGAAGAGAAAGATGAGGATGATAATGATGATAATTATTATTTTCAGAACCTTTCACACCAGGACAGTTCATATTACCATTGCAGAGCCACTAATAAATTTGGCAGTAACACCACAACGACCAGAATTATTGTTCTTGGTTGTTGTTGTGTGTGTGTGTGTGGTGTGTGTGTGTGTTGATATTTTTTTATAAAGTTGTTGTTGCGTGTGTGTGTGTGTACGTGTGTGGTGCGTGTTGATATTTGAGTTATGACGTCGTTGTTGTATGTGTGTGTGTGTGTGTGGTGTAGTGTTATCACATTTAAACAACAACAACAAACAACAATAAACAACAACAACACACAACGCAGATAAAACCAGCATTACTACAAAACCAGCCAACCAAACGACTTTGAACGGGACGACCGTTAAATTCACGTGCGATTTCTCAACAGATCGAAGAGAAATTGAAAGTTTAAGAGTCACGTGGTATCGGATTTTCCGGAAAAATGATCACGAAAAATTTCTAGACGACAACGAGGGTGGCGATGCTGGTGGCTATGGTAAAAAATATAATGACGATGGCGAGGATGGTGATGACGTAAACGAGGATGATGATGATGTTGATGATGATGATGATGTTGATGATGATGATAATAATAAAAATGGAAAAGACGATAACGACAGTGACAAGACCTACTTCCTTTTAAATAATTCAAAAATTATCCACTTCAACAACAAAACAACAACAATTAATTACCGTAATAATGATAAGAATAACAACAATAATAATGACGTCATCAAAGTTCTGCTGAAAGAAACCAAAGACCGTATATATTTCACTAATCGATCCCTGTGGATTAGGAGTGCGAGAGTTGGGGATAGCGGGGAGTACTCTTGCCACGTTACGAATGGGATCGATTGGGACCAGGCGTCCGCCTTTCTCGTCGTTAAAAGTGGATTTAAGTTTTAATTTTTTTTAATCCTAACAAATTTGTGGAATTAGTTTTTATTTATTTTAATTATCTTCATCATCAGCACAACAAAATATGATCACAGCAACATCAACAAAAACATCAAAAACAACAACAAATACAACATCAAAAACAACAACAACATCAACAACAACATCAGCAGCGACAACAACACAACATGAACAGGCAAACCATCCAAACCATACGACGCACGCATAGACAAGTGTTCTTCATTGTCAGCCATTTTAAAATGGCGGCCAGCCGACGAAAACAACTCCCCGATCACTAACTACACGGTCTACTCGAGGCATCAGTCAAAAATACAATACGACTACCTGGGGCCTAACCCTACTCCTCCACCGACGCCATCTTCACTAATTTCAGGATTTAAATCCCAAAAATTTCAGAGATGTGCTGTCGTTAATGATAGCTCAAAGCTGATTGGTAGCGCGATTGAAGTTAATTTAACTCTCTCACCAATGATGGAGTACGAATTTCAAATTTCTGCCAGTAATATTTTAGGGGAGGGGCCTAAATTTGAAATCAATCAATCATGCGTGACTCCGCCTTCGAGACCATTCAGGAATCCGATCGGTGTTTGTACTGACTTGAAAAATTGCAGTCAATTAATTATTGTCTGGCAGGTAGATTTTGGCCATAATTTATTTATTAATTTATTTATTTCATCATTTAATTTTAGCATATTTTCAAATTTTATTAACCAGAATTTAATCAACTGATAATAATTCTATAATAAAACCATTCCAAAAATAAAATTACAACAATAACCACCAACCACTAAGCCCCTATTGAAAAGTGAACTGAACGGCAACGGATTTTTTTACCTGGTCAGCTACCAGCGGCTTTTCACGCCGCCACAAACAACCACAACGACCACAACTACGAACCCTTATCTTGACAGCATCAACGATTTTTTCGGCAGCAGTAGCAGCAACAAAAACAGCAACAACAACAATCAGTTTGATAACAATTCATCACTTAGTAGTGAGAATAATTCTAGTCTGTCTAGTCATGAAGGTCCTGAAATTATGCAGGTGTATAACAACAACAAATACTTACATGATCTAACAACAACAACAACAACTCACAACAACAACATCACACATTCACTAAACAACACACTCTGGGTAAAAAACAACTCACCCACCATCAAACACCACCAAAAACCACCACAACTAGCCACTAACCACAAACAACCGCCTACTACAGTCTTATCCAACAATACCAGCCACCATCAACCACCACCAGCCACAAACAATCACCAACCACCACACCAACCACAAAGGTAGTAAGAGACTCGAGAAGTAGCGAGGCCGTCATAGAGATGGCTGACTGCAGCTTCAAGCGCTTCGTCGTCTACGTGCAGTCGGTCAATGAGGAAGGATTCGCCGTGTCAAGTGATGTTGATGTCAAGGTCGGATACGCCGGGGAAGATAGTGAGTTGTTTGAGAGGGGAACAAAGTTTTAGGAAAGAGGAAGAGAAAGAGAAACAAAATAGAGGGGGAGAAAGAGAGAAAAAGAGTTGTTTGAGAGGGGAACAAAATTTTAGAAATGAGGAAGGAAGAGAGAGAGAGAAAAAAGAGAGCAAAGTTTCGCTAATTTAACGAATGTCAATGTCAAGATGTGGTACATACACACCTGGATGGAGAAGGTAGTGAGTTTTTAGTGAGGGATCAAGCGAAAAATGAATGAAAACGAAAATGATGAAAGAAAAAGTGAAGAAAATAAAAGAAAGAGAGAAAGAGAGAGAGAGAGAAAAAAAAGAAAAAAAGAAAGAGGAAGAGAGAATAATTGTACGAAAGGATATTTGTTATTATCAATAGATAGACTCTGTTCAAATTTTTTCTCATTACCACATTCCCTATCTTATCATCTTAACATCATCGTTCACTGCAAAACTATTACCAATCAATCATCGTCGTCGTCATCATCATCATCGTCGTCATTAGGACCATCAGTTCGCCCGCAGAACTTACGGCTGAACCACGAGAAGTTGAATCAAAACAGTGTGGAATTGTACTGGGACCAAGTGAACACGAGCCCCCATACTATCAACGGCATCTTTGTTGGCTACCAGGTCGGTTCAATTGAGTGATTGATTGGCAGGTTGGTTGGTTGGTTGGTTGGCTGGTTGCTTGGTTAATTTGTTGATTTTCTGGTTTTGGGGTTGATTGGTTGGTTGATTGGTCTGTTGGCTGGTTATCAAAAATGTTTTTGAGAATGTAAGGTTATTTGGCTGGGCGGTTGGTTTTATGGTTGGTTGGTTACTACTGCTTAAATATAATTTTATTCAATCATTCATTCAATTTTTTAATCATTCAATTATTCAATCAATCATTCATGCTCACACTCATTCAACCATTCATTCACTCATTCATTTATTTAATAGTTCATTCACTCATTCATTCACTCACTCCTCCATTCGACCAATAAGATCCACGCGTGGGTGAGTGACAACCCTGACATCATCAGGGTGCAGGACATCGTCATCTACCACGACATCAACAACACGCTGGCCTGTTCGGCCAAGGAAGACATTGAGGTCACGTCATCACCATCTTCTTCCGGTTATTATCACGTGACCGGAAGTTACCGGGATCGAACTCCGATTAGAGTCTATATGACGGATTTGTGGCCCAATACAATCGTTACCGTCGGTGTTTTGGTTGTTAGTAGTTCGAATGTCGGAGATCTTAGCGATACTATTGAGTTTATGACTCCATCAGCGCCGGGTTGGTTGGTTGATTGGTTGGTTGGTTGATTGGTTGGTTGATTGGTTGGTTGGTTGATTGGTTGGTTGGCTGATTGGCTGATTGGTTGGTTGGTTGATTGGTTGGTAAATTTATTGAAAAAACAAATACCTCATCTTAATTGCTTGTTTAATAAATTATCAATGAAATTAATTTGTAGTTGAATATTTAGTAAACTAAATTGATTGTCTCGAGTCTGACTGGTTGAAATTATATTACGACTAAAATAACGACCAATGAGAGACGTTGATGGATATTCCCACGTAGACCCTGACCAATCGGAATCGTCCAATGGTTCAGCTTCATCTGCTATTGTCAGGATTGTGACAAGACCGCCCACTACACCAAGTTAGTTGATTGATTGATTGGTTGATTGATTGTTTGATTGGTCAATTAATTAATAAATAAGTTGGCTGATTATCTGACTGTTTGTTTTTAATTCGCTTTTATAATTAATAAATGTTTTAAACTGAAAATTTGGTCGGCAGTAGGTTAAATGACAATTAATTATTTATATATTCATTCAATCTTTCATCCATCTTTTCATTAAATAAATAATTCATTCATTCGTTCATTCATTCAATCACTCATTCACTCATTCATTCATTCAATCACTCATTCATTCATTCATTCATTCACACGTTCATTCATGAAGTAACAAAGGCCATTGAAATTCCCAATGCAACTTTCGACGAACTCTTCAACAACACTGACGAGTACGGTGATGACGACGATAAAGGTTCATTTTGATTTGTAATTATATTAGGTACCTTTAATTTATTTTTTTATAAAACATTTATTTTTACTTAATTTAATAAAAAATTTTTTTCTTGTTATAAAACATTTATTTTTTTTAATTTAATAAAAATATTTTTTTTTTATTATAAAACACGCCGAAAAGAAATTGTGGCTACAACAAGCTTACCTAAGAGAGAAGAATATAAAAGGACTTTGATTGGTTGGTTGGTTGGCTGGTTGGTTTGTTGGTTGGCTGGTTGATTGGATGGCTGGTTGGTTGGTTGTTTGGCTGGCTGGTTGGTTGGTTGGATGGATGGTTGGCTGGCTGGTTGGTTGGCTGGTTGGTTGGTTGGCTGGTTGGTTGGTTGGTTGGTTGGTTGGTTGGTTGGTTGGTTGGTTGGTTGGTTGGTTGGTTGGTTGGTTGTTTGGTTGGTTGGCTGGCTGGGTTGGTTGGTTGGTGGTTGGTTGGAGATTAAGAATTAATAGTCGTGAAAAATTGAAAAATGATTTTATTTTAATATTTAACTTTCTAATACAAGGTTTTCAAGTTATTATATTACTTATTAATTTTACATAGTTATCCATAAATTATTATATTGACTTATATTTTGTATTATTAATTGAAATATTTTTTCGACAACAGTTAATAACACTGTATGCGAGTTAACCGCATCACGCACACATTGTACGTGATAGTCGGGGATCACTTGGCATTCGAACGCGGTAACTGCAACAGCGTTGCCTGACACCTTAACCATTACACCATGTCGCCGCCATTTTTGCAGGAATTCCAAAATTGGCGCGCTGGTTCATCGGAATGACTTCATCGGTCGGTTTGTTGTTCATCCTACTGTTCATCGTTTGCGTTCTTAAGAGGAGGAAGGGTAGAAATTATCAAGGTGGAAGACTTGTTTCTGATGTTTTCTGATCTTATAGTTTGTGTCTTTTGGGCTAAGTCGTTTCTTCAAATGAACGGTTGTCTTGGCTAGGAAGATGTAAAAGAAACTAAAAGAAAATTAAAACTAAATTTTTAAAATGTAAATAAGTATTATCGAGATCACCATTTTCTTAATGTCAACTGCAGCTAGAATAAAATGTCTCTAATGACGTAAATGAATCCGAGTCAGCGTTTACGTCAAGTGGTAGTATAGTTCAATTCCTACGTTAAATTCAGTGATTTCAATTTTAAAAGAATTAGGAAAAGCTCAACTTTTGCAGAGAAAAAAATACAAATTATGAATTAGTAATGAATTATTGATGAAAAAGTTTGATAATTTATAATAATTAATATAGCTGTTATTGTTCATAACTTTTTTTTTAATTGACAGTACACGAAAGAGAGAAAACGAAAGGTAGAGAACTGGACTGGCCAGATGTGAAGTTGGATAGTAAGGAAAGAGTAGAGGGTAGGAGGAGGTATGTTAGTCGATTGATTGATTGATTTGGTCGCTAATTGATTGATTGATTGAGTCGCTAATTGATTGATTGACTGATTAATTTAGTTGCTAATTGATTAGTTGACTGACTGGTTGATCGATTTTTTGGTTGTTTGAATAAAGAAGTAAACCCTTATTGAAAACTTCACATTAAATTTTACTTAAACAACTCAACCCATGAGCATTTAACCATTTAACAAACAAGGCGTGCACACACGTACTTACACAAACACATAAACACACACATCCCACACAAACGCAGGTTCGCAATTGGTCGTCTAAGGAAGAAGAAAAGTCGCTTAAGTTCTTCAATAGTCAGCGAGACGAGCAGCCTAAAAGAGTACGACGAAAATGGAGACATGACGAACTTTCTGGAAGATGGTTCCTTCATCGGCCAGTACATCTACAAGCCCTTCATAGTCGAAGAGAACGAAGGAGCTACAATTGTCATTGAAGAAAGTGGGACTGATTCTAAAACCAACGGCCTGCCTAAGGATGGAAAAGATGGAAACGGTAAGGATGATGAAGGAGGTAGTGGAGAAATATCAGAGGGAAATCAGCAGGGACCAACTGTCGTGTCGGTCCTTGCTACATACATCTGATCTTATTGGTTTCTCCAGAGACTTTTGTTTCTAATCATATTTTGTATCTCTCGGACTCAGGCGTTTGCTAAATGAATTGTCTTCTGTCTGGTGTCTTCACGTCGTCTAGTGACTACACGTCTAGTATCTAGGCAAGTCCAGAAAAATACAAAATAAAACCTAGATGACACAGAAGTCTTCCATTCTTTTTTTGTTTCCATGTGGTTTATGTTTTATTTTCAGGATTTATTTACAAATGACGTCTCTATATTTATACAATTACGACTCTAGAACGTTGTCACTGACTTATTTAGTACAATTAGGCAAATTGGAGACCATAGTAGTATAGTTATATGTTTTTGCCGTTTATTTTTGCCACATCTTTGTTATTTTTTGCTTTAAAAAAAATTCGTGAACTAAACAAAACATTAAAAAGTATTCCAACCTTACACACAGACCCAGATATACATCTAATAATTAGGATACTTATCAATTATTAAAAAATTAATCAATCAATCTTCGTTTAGCGTCCAGAGACCCAGTTCCCCTGAGATAGGATAGGAACTTATATCTACTTAGGATACTTATATCTGAAAGATATACGTAATTACACTAAGGTCTATATATTTCATTTGCCCGTATATATATATATATTTATATATATAACATGTACGTTTAGATTACTATTAGGATTAGAAATAGTTGAAGCCATATCAATTACTTAGTACTACCATTTAGTACAGGTACTTAATTACTACTTAGGAATTGGTATAAGCAATCAGTCCAAAAAGTACTAATTTCAACAAATTAACTGTTAATTATGGTTTAATTAGATTTTCCGATATAAAAAAAGCCATGTTGTGAGAACTAAAATTCGACGACAATGTGTAAAAACATACGAGTATCTAATTATACTATACAAAAGAATAAAAACTAATCGATTAATTATGTAATTAATCATTAATTAATTAACAAATTAATTTATTACAATTATTCTTTTATTATCGTTATCTGTAGTGCGCCGATGCGTGACGTCACCGTTGACAACGTCCAAAGACATAACAGAAAAAAATTAATAAAAATTCCAAAGACATCGTAACAGAAAAATTGAATAAAAAACCAGACGTCAGTGCAATAAGATCGCTGTCGACTAACAATTAAATTATTAATGCTAATAATATCAATTAATTATTATTAATAATTATTATCTAATTTTATTAACACTCTAAGATTCCGTAATAACAATAACCAACACAAAAACGCGATGTAACACCAAATAAATGGCCGCATACATATACATACATTTAATATAAAATTAAATTAAACAAGAAACACGCATTTAGAAATTTTTTTTTCAATTCAGTACATACAAACACACACATGTGCATATATAAAAATACACATACAACCACACATACATAGGTATACACATGCATACATACGTACATACATACATACGTAGGTACATACAAACATACACACACACACACATACACACAATAAAATCTTCTCGACACGAACTCCACTATCAATGAAAATTACATAAAACAAACATGAACATCATCATCATAATTGTTTCTTCATCTTTTATCATCAACATAAAACAAACGATAACGACAATAATGATAATTATTATTATAATTATTATTATTACAACGACGATTTGCGAATAAATTATGTTAATTTAACTGCCTACAGTGAATCCGATTCCGAACCGGAAAGTATTTTTGACGTGATTGCCGAAGCCACTTAACGTAAGTGTAAATGGCATCGGTAGTAGCTTCTTCTCTAGGACCGCCCCAATACAAAAATTCGAGTCGAGCTGACCTAATTTGGGTTAATTTGATTGGTCAGTTAAAAATAAGGGTATTATTGCAATCCGTGGTTGGTTAAAAATATGTAACTAACAACCAATCAAATCTTAAAATACATTCAATCAATCGACCAATCAAATCAATAGAAAATATCAACCGGCCAATCAGAATGAACGAACCTTTGAAAACGACATCAGACTTTGGTAGGTCGACCTGATAGGCTACAGTGGTAGTGCACTCCTGGCTGGCCAGGTTACCATCCAACTCAACACCTGATTGGTTGATGGGACGTTAATCAAATAGCCAATTAGATGTCAGTAAATGAGCAGCAAAGTTTTAACTCAAAACCCGATTAGCTGACGACAATTAACAATTTAATAACATGTGAATAAACAAGCTGTAAAACTGTAAAACTTTCTATATCAACATTTAATTGGATGTTAACATTCATACACACACTCACACATCACACAAAAGATGTCCAATCAAAAGCTCATGTAAATATGTAAACAGACAGACAAACAGGCACTCAAACACAGACACACAAACAAACAAACAAACACAAAGACAGACATACAAACCAAATTGCATGGTATTGCTGGCTTTTTGGTAGTAGCATAACTTCATGCCCAATGTGAATGGTGTTAGGTTGCTGCTAATCTGCCAAGAGTCTCCTAAAATTCAATCAATCAATCAATCAATCAATCAATCAATCAATCAATCAATCAATCAATCAATCAATCAATCAATCAATCAATCAATCAATCAGCCAGCTGAATTACACAATCAATCAGTCTTTAATTTGGTTATGTAATTAGTTTATCAATCCATTACTTTGAAAGTCATTCAGTTGCTTAGTCAGTCAGTTGGCAAACCAATCAAAACTAAACCAACCAACCGACCGACCAGCCAACCGACCAACCAGAATATCTGGCCCCAAACGAAACCGCCCCAACGTGCCCCCCTGGAATATTGGCATCTGACTGGTAGAGGAACTCAGTCCCCAAAGCAATCCTCTTTGTTATGTTCTGCAGGTAGTTGCAAATGAACATGCCTGAGGTAAAAATGAAATATGCCTCAATATACAAGCCATCAACTTATGAACTCAAGCTGGACAACAGATCAATCAGTCAACAAATCAATTGGTCAGTGTCATCCGACAAATCAGTTAGTTGGTCAGTCAATCAACCAGCCAGTCAGCAGTATCATTCTATCATTTAGTTAATAAGTAAATTGGTCAATCAAGTCTGTTAATGGCCAACCAACTGATGAAACAACTGACCAACCAACCAACCAATCAAACAACCAACCAGAATCTTTACGAAGGTCAACATTGGCAAGAGTGAATGAGGTGGTGTAATCCTTCCCCCTGTACTCCAGCCCCATCTGGCTGCCAACCAACTTACTGCACTGGATCTGTGAGGTGGGTTATTATCAACGAGTTTCATGAGGTATTTGAATGTAGTTGTGCGTATCTCTATGTGTATTTGGACGTATTTGTGATGTAAACTGTATTTATCTTTATCTTTATCAAGTCTTTATCTGTATTTGAAAGGTATCTGTAACTTGGTTACATAGGAAAATTTTGTGTAGCATTTTTGTGTATTTGATTGTATCTGTTAAGTGCATGTGTGTGAAAATGTATGTAATTTTGAAATACATGCTGAATATTGTTGTGCTATTGTTGTGAAGTATTTGTGTATATGTAGTGTATATGGGAGTGTCACATGACTGTGAAGTATTTGCCATGTATTTGAATGCATTCTTGCAGTATCTGCAAAAGTTTGTATGTATTTGAAGAAGTCTGTCGTTTAATTATACAGACAGCAACAAATACGCACCATACCACACACACACAGCAAAAAATACACATTATACCACACACACACAGCAAAAAATACACATTATACCACACACACACACACGCACACACACATACACGCACACATAAACAAACCTGAGAGATGAATCGACATCGAATGGCTTTAGTGAACTGGTGGATAACCTGAGCATTCAAACTTCCAGAAAAATCCATGTCCCCAAGCAAGACTGGATATGCCTAAGCAGCAAGTAGATTAGGGAAGTCAAGAAAATTTGGAGATTGAGAAGATTAGTAAACTAAATAAAAATTGTCCAATCAAAATGGATTTTATAAAAAAATTTGAATTATTTAAGTTACATTTCCAGTTCTATATGGCTCGTGTTTTCATATTTTTTTTCATTTTCATACTTTAAAAAATTTCAAACTTAAAAAAAAAACAAAAATCCTAAATAAACTTTTAAAAAACCACCATCACAAACTTCATTAGGGCCAAACTGTCTATCTCCGACGTATGTGCAACCAAATCGATAGCCAGATGGCTGCAAACTGCTCATTGTTAAGGTGTGTGAAATTTGAAATACGCTGCTCAAACCTTTAGTGTATAGGCATTTTGTGATATAAGCCAATATTTGTCATATTGGTATTTAGTGAAAATTTAGTAAAAGGACATAAATTCATGAAAAAAACCTTTATTGATCTGTAGCCTGGCTCCTTCAAACGGGGCGGGGAAGACTTCTGTGGAGATTTTTTGATTGAAAATTTTTAAAATCATACAATTATGAAATATAATTATGAAAAAAAGCAATTGCTGAATGAACGATGTGAAGAACAAAAACAAATGCATGAAAAACAGAAAACATAGGAACATCAAACATAAATAAACATTCCAAAATAAAGTGAACTAACAAACGAACGAATGAACGGGAAATAACCTTTACACTTTCTGTGCAGATCATCGTAGACACCTGGATTGGTGTCATCTTGTGCGGGAACGGCCAACCCGGTTTCTGACTTGGCATCACCGGGCGGTGAAACAACCTTTGGAATTTCAGTGGAAGGTGGGGGAACGGACGCCATAACTTAACTAACGTATCGTTGAATAATTGGACTAAAAAGTAGTGAGAAAGAAATCAATTTTAAAAATAGGTTAAATATTAATTTAATTACTATGCGGATGCCCTTGGTGCATCCATGTGCAAAAAGAAAGCGGAAGTTTACAGCGCTCGATTAACTTTTAAATTTTGGTTTAAGCAAACCATACATACACGTAGCTTTTGTAATTTAATACCATTGAACTTTTTAAATAACATTATTTTTTAATGTAATTATTTTTAATTAATATAAAATTAATTGAAAAAATTTTTAACAAATCAAAAGTTTCAACTAAATCTTTTTTTGAGTTTTAAATTAGTTTTTAAAATTTAAAGTTCAAAAGTTGCCTAGCAACTTAATGAAAACTTATTTTGATTTATTTTCGATATTTTTTAAACATGCTGATTTTTATTTTGTTTCATATTAAATTATTTTTACACAAATTAAAAAAAACTTGCAATTAATTTTTGAAAATTATTTTTAATTGAATATTTGCATTTTATAATTTATACAATTTTTCTGTTGATTTGGTAATTGGTTGGCAAGCTAAAATCTAAATTGACCAAACGTTACGTGCAAAATTATGAAATAATTAGTGAAGTAAGTAAAGTTGCAGGCAAAAATTTTTTCAGATTTAAACATTATTTTTCATTTCTCTAAATGAATGAAGCCAACATAGAATCTTTCAATTACAACGTCTTTTTGTTCTCAATTCTTCTTAACTAGTGTTAAATTTGAATTAAACACTCGTTTGCTAAGTCTGTATTTGCTTTCTCTGGCACTTTTCTCTGAAACTCTCTACCTCCTTCTCTGACTACTTTTACATCACTTGCAAAGTTCAGAGTGGATCTCAAGACCTATCTTTTTGCAAAATTCATTGAGGAGCGCTGTTGAACATTGCGGAAATATCGCTTTATAAAATGATTGATTGATTGATTGATTAATGGATTGATTGATTGAATGATTGATTGATTGATCGATTGATGGATTGATTGATTGAATAATTGATGGATTGATCGATCGATTGATCAATCATTGATCGATCAATTATTCAATCAATCAATCAATCGATCGATCAATCAATCCATCAATTGATCGATCGATTGATTGATTGATTGATTGATTGGTTGATTGGTTGATTGATTGATTGATCGATTAATGGATTGATTGATTGAATGATTGATTGATTGATCGATTGATGGATTGATTGATTGAATAATTGATGGATTGATCGATCGATTGATCAATCATTGATCGATCAATTATTCAATCAATCAATCAATCGATCGATCAATCAATCCATCAATTGATCGATCGATTGATTGATTGATTGATTGATTGATTGATTGATTGATTGATTGATTGATTGATTGATTGATTGATTGATTGATTGATTGATTGATTGATTGATTGATTGATTGATTGATCGATCGATCGATTGACTGTTTGATTGATAATTTTGATTTTTTCAATTATAAGTATACTCACTTTATCTAAAAAAAATCCCTAAATAAAAATCAAATAATTTTTTAATTTAAGGTAAAAACTTTATTTGCAAAAAAACAAAAGGAATCCAGAATAAATAATTATGAAAGTGAAAAAGAACTTGAGCTCAGAAGATCCACAGCCGTCGACGCTGACGCAAAACTCCAGCAACAAATCAGTGAAGCATAACAAAAAGAACTCCTCCACAGTTACGTCAAATGCCAACAGACTCGTGATGGCCAAAATTCCAGAAGTCGATCAGAACATTGGCGACAATAATGAAACTGCTAAGAATATTTTATCTATGGAGAATAAGGTTTTAAACATTCATTCACCTTAAAATTTTTATTATTTTGCTTCAGATAATAAATTTTCTTTTTATGTTTATCAAATGTGGAAACTTCGTTTTTGTGAAATTTTAGTAATCACATTCTCTCTTTCTCTTTCGTTATCTCTTTTTTCTCTCTCACTATTTTTTTCCGTCTCTGTCTCTCTCTCATCTTTCCGGCTCTTCTTTAATTTTCTTTGTTCTTTTCCATTCTCTTTCTCGTACTCCCTATGTTTTTTCTCTCTCTTTCTTCATCTTTTTCTCACTCTCTCTCTCTTTCTCTCTCTCTCTCTCTCATTCTCTTTTTCACTCAGTTTTTCAACCATCACGAACAATCGATGACTGAGAAGTTCCTCCCAAAAATCAATGCAGCCGCAGTCACATTCACACATTCCAACAACCCTCCCCAGAGCGTCAGAGCTCTGCTGCCTACCACCAATGACGTCAACAGTGAGTCAAGTCGTTTGTTCAAAATGAAATAGTTCTGTTTGTTTCAATCGTTGAGAATTTTAGTTGATATATTTGGAAGTTGTTTATTAGTTCATTCATTTGCTCATTCGTACAATCGTTCACTCACTCGATTACTGACTCAGAACACAGAAAACCCGGCAAACATTCAGAAGAATTCGAAATGGCCTCAAAATTAAGCAACCAAGCAAATTCAAACGTTAACCACCCCCAGACAACCACCCACCTCTACCAAACACTCACGCCCCACCAAGCAAGCAGCCCCCGCCACCACCAAACAGCAGCTACTCCAACTTCAACGACAAAACCATCGGCAATAACAACGACATTAAAAGCAGCAGCAGCAGTAGTAGCAACAACGACGACAACGACATCTCCAACGTCACCGAGAATCGTTCATAACAACAACATCAGCTCGAAAGCTGAGAGTAACGCCGAGAGAGAGTTGGAACTTAAACTCATTGCTGATAAAGCTATCAAGGTTTCGTTAATAATGATGACGTTGAAGACGACAATCAATCGATCAATCAATCAATCAATCAATCAACCAACCAATCAATCAATCAACCAATTTCTGAACAGGAGCAGAAAATATTCATATGCAACGGACCTTACCCGACTTTGAGGTCATCCTTGAGGAAGAGGGGGTGGGTTGAAAAGTTCATCAATCTCAGTAACAACACTAAAGTCGGTGTGCCAAGAAGCAGCTTGTTGGCTGAAGATGATGGTTGGTTGGTTAGTTGGTTGGTTGGTTAGTTGATTGGTTGGTTAGTTGTTTAAGTGGCTGATTGATTAATTGACTTGATTGTTAGCTGGTTGGTTGATTTGCCAGCTAACCAGCTTGATAGCTGTAATATTTTTCAAATTAATCATCAGTTTCTTAGACTTGTCTGTTCGTATATTCTTTTAGTTATGCGTTTGTTTGTTCATTCGTTTGTTCATTCATTCATCCATTCATTTATTCACTCATTCATTTATTCATCCATCCATTCATTTATTCATTCGTTTATTCATTCATTCATCCATCCATTCATTTATTCATTCGTTCATTCATTCATTTAGCAGCCACAACGGCAGCTAGAAATGACGAAATGCACAAGCTGTCTGTGCTAGTAAGATTGTCATCGCCATCACCATCATTATCATCATCACCATCATTATCATCATCATCATCATCATCATCATCATCGTCATCATCATCGTCATCATCATCATCACCATCATTATCATCATCATCATCATCATCATCATCATCATCGTCATCATCATCATCACCATCATCATCATCATGGCTTTCATCATCGTCGTCGTCGTCATCATCATCGCCATTGTTGTAATCATTTTTATCATTATTTTTATTATTTAGTAAAATTATTTCAATCACGACAAAATTCCCAATTACACTTTATAATAATGACGACGACGATGATGATGATGATATGATGATATGATGATGATGATATGATGATGATGACGGTGGGTGATGGTGGGATAATTTTTTAAAAGTCAGCCCTAGTTAAAGACCATCCGGTTACGTTAATGTTCACCGTGAAGACTTCAGACGTATTGAACAGGGTACTGAAACCATCTCAAATCGTTAACCATTATGGCAAGTCTACTGCTTTCACTACTAAGGTGATTGATTGATTGGCTGATTGGTTGGTTGGTTGGCTGGTTGGATGGTTGGTTGGTTGGTTGGTTGAGTGGTTGGTTGGCTTGCTGGTTGATTGGTTTGTTGGTTTATTTACTCATTCGTTCGTTCGTTCGTTCGTTCATTTGTTTGTTTTGTCAATCCTTTGTTCATTCATTTGTTTGTTGGTTGGTTTATTGTTTCATTTATTTATTTTTCTTGCTGTCGATTCATTCATTCATTCAATCAATCAATCAATCAATCAATCAATTAGTTATAACTTTCAATTCAATCATCTATTTAATCTTTTTTTCCCATCTCCCTGTTCACAGTGTTAATTTTAAAAGTACGCGGTACATCCACGCATTCTTCAATCGTTCACTCACTTTCATTTGTTCACTCAATCAATTATTCATTCACTAATACATTCATTCATTCATTCATCTGCTCATTCCTTTATCATTTGCTCTTTCGTTCATTTAAACAATAAACATAAATAGACTCCATCCACACGTGTTGTTAGGTAGGTCTGTCGACGAATCTGAAGAATTGTGATTGGTTTGTCGACCTGGACTGCAGTTGTTTCTACCCCAGGTGCTATAATTTGTCCGTCTTGGATGAAAAAACTGCCTTTATCGGTTGGTCGGTTGGTTAGTTAGCTGGTAGGTTGGTTGGTGGGTTGGTTGGTTGGTTGGTTGGTCAGTCGGTTGGTTGGTTGGTCGGTTGGCTGGTTGGTCGGTCGGTTGGTTGGTTGGTCGGTTGGTTTGTAGGTTGGTTGATTGATTAGATGATTGGTTAATTGGTTTGCTGGTAAACCAATCGGTTACACACACATCCAAGTACAGGTATGCACACTTAATGTATGCACGCACATGTATCTGCGTACACGTATAAAAACAGGTTTACACGCATATCTACACATACACACGCACGCACCTACACATGCGCACACAAACGCACACAAACAAACAAACAGACGACTTCTACTTGACATCTTGCATGAGCTTCATTCGCTACTTCCTGCTGCAAACCAAAAATCAACCAGCGAGGAAACAGCAACAAATACAAAATCAGCCGCAACAGCAGACGGCAGCGTTCGCCGTCAAACAATTTCTATTAAACGAGCGACAGGAGCTGCTCTCGCTACCACTGCTGCGACACAACATGCAGAAAGAACGACTTCAACGGCATCAGCAACTCGAACAGCAGCTCCATCAGCAAC